CCCCCCCCCCTTTTTGGTGCTGTTGGGCGACCCGTGCAGGTCACTGCATGATGACGCCCTCCTTGAGCGGCGAGGGGTGGTTATCTGGTGTGCCTTTTACGTGATGTGAATGGATCCGCTATAGGCTTCGCTCATGCACTATCCACGGACTGGGAAAATGCAGAGGGCACCTGTCAGGTAGAAGGCCGCTGCCGAAATGTTTTTTTTGTTCTGATCTGTTCTTTTTTCCCTCTCGAGTTTAGAATAAAAAAGATCTAACCTAACCGCATCACTCTGGACGTGATTGCGGTCAGATTCATCCAGGTCTAGCCGAAATTACACTCGAATGCATAGTGGGACGTGCTACCAGCGCGCGTGTATGGCAATCCACTTTCAGGGCATACTCGCACTGGTAGCACGTCCCAAAATGCATTCGAGTGTAATTTTGGCTAGACCTGGATGAATCTGACCGCAATCACGTCCAGAGCTTTGTGGAAGAAGAAGTCTCTCTGTATTTTCAGTCCGGACGTATCTGTTGACCTTCTGTTCCAGGAATCGTCGTTTCCTCCCACATATCCTCCCTCCTACTTATCCGCCCTCCCTCTTTCCCTCCCTCCCCCCCCCCCCCGCCCCCCTTCTTGTTCCGCGGCCTTCCAGCCATTCTTTTCCCCCCATAATGTTGTCTTTCTTTTTCTGTTTATTTTTTTTTGAACATGACATTTTGTCTCTGGTCATCGCGACAGTATCTCACGACTGAGGTAACCCTTTTTTTTTAATATGACTGAGGGAACCCTAATCAAGCAATTAATGCATTTATGGATCTCGCTGTAAGGTGCCGAACGGAGAGGTATATGACCGTGGAGGTGGCAAATATCATTCGACGGTTTGGAATGAGGGAATGGAAAAAGGAGGATCAGTTGATGAGGACAGTGAGGTTTAATGTGGAAGGGAATTTGTTCTCGGTTCTGACAGCGTCTCTGAGGTGCAATTTGTCTAATCAAGTAATCCGGTCGAAATATGGCCCAGGTTCTTGTTAGTTTGGGCTAATGAGACGTAAAGGCCAATAACTGCTTAGCAAAGCCTGAAGGAAGTGGATAAGCACGGAACCTGGTCCGATTATGGGCCAGGTGCTCGTTTAGGCTCTAATTATTGGCAAATTTTTGCTGAAAGGAGCGTGAACGACGTTGGCAATCGACTCTACTACGAATGAGCGAAGAGCAGATGGAGGAAGGTCTGGAGGGATGAAGGAGGGCATGAAGGAGGGCAAATCGTAGAATCGATGGATGAAGGCTGTAGACGACCCCCCCTGGTTCGTTGGATAGGTAGATGATTTGATGGGTACGATGGCGTTGGAGTATATTCGGACAATCTGAACACAGTTTGTATTATCGTGATAGTGGTGGTTAGTGTGATGGACAGAAAAACGCAGTGAATGACGCTCGCGGTGGGTCCATGCCGAACTTTATGAAAAGGGGGGGGGGGATGGATGAGTGGATGGAAGGGTGAAGGGATGAGTGGGTGAGTGGATGGATGTATGGATGGGTGGGTGGATGGATGCACGATAGATTGCACTGATGTGTGGATGTGTAATTGGGTGGGTGGATGGATGAACGAGTGAATGGTTGTCTGGCTGGAGGGATGGATGAATGGGATGGATGAACGAATGAATGGGTGAATAGATGGATGAACGGATGGATGAAGGGATGAGTGGGTGGGTCGATGGGTGGTTGGATGTATGCAAGGATGGATGGATGGGTGGATGGATGCATGATATGTTGTACTGACGTGCGGATGTGTTAGGTGGATGGATGAACGAGTGAATGGAATGGATGGATGGATGGATGATGGGTGAATAGTTGTATGAATGGAATGAACGGATGGATGATGGGTGAATAGTTGTATGAATGAATGGATGGACGGATGATGGGTGAATAGTTCTATGAATGGATGGATGGTCGAGTGTATGGATGGATGAATGGACAGGGATGGGTGAATAGGTGGATGTATGTATGGATGGGTAGATGAAAGGATGGATGGCTGTGTATGGGTGGATCGTTGATTGTTTGTATGTATGGGTGGATGGAGGGAAGTATGGATGGGATGGATGCAGCGATCGATGGGTGGATGGACAAGATGAAAAAAACGGATGGATGGATGGTTGGATGATATGGGGTACGGATGTATCCGTGAATGAATGTAGGTCGTGGCGACTGTGCCTGGGAAGAAGATTAGTGCATGGATTTGAGGGCGGAGTAAGGCATGCAGATCGATTTGACATGTGATTGGACCCTGATGGATGCATACGTCCGTGAGTCGTACGGATGTATCCGTGAATGTATTTAGGTCGTGGTCGTGGCGACTGTGCCTCGGAAGAAGTTTAGTGCATGGATTGGAGGGCGGAGTAAGGCATGCAGATCGATTTGACATGTGATTTGACCCTGATGGATGCATACAACCGTGAGTCGTACGTGAACCAATCAATGGGGTTGGGTATGTTTTCCAGCGTTTGTCGAATGGATCGATTCTGTGGGCCACGCGGGGATAAGGTAGAGGGGTGAGCGGTGAGGTACGTCGATGTGTTTGTGAACCCACCGGAGATTTGCGGCAGGTTCGCTCGTACAATGTGTGGTAGATGGAAACCTACCGTGTATGATGTTGGTGTATTATGGGTGTCATGGATTTGTGCGTTTTAGGAGGTCGGTCGGGATTGGGATCTGATAGACATGGCAATCTTGTTGAGAGATGTGATGGCGGGAAGGATATCTTCGTTTTATTTTTTCTTGTTTAAAAAGGGGGCAGACTTGTGATATCATCTTTTTGAACTTATATCGACAACTATGTGAATTAATAATACAGTAATAATACAGTAATTACTCAACTGATCCCATGTGGAGGTGGAACTCAGATCTGTGTTTCAACAGCTCATGGGTGTACAAACGAGGCTAGGCCAGTTGATGATTTCCGCGCTCCCCGAATGTCAGCGGATGGAACTATCGTGTGGGGAATTTCCCCGGGCCTTGCAGGACTTCAGTGCGGATGTGATGGTACATGGCGTCACGTAAGGACACCAACATTTTTTTCCCTAGGTCGAATTACGTTTAATAGGAATCAACAACGAAAGAGAGGAGCACCGCTGATTTTGCCCTGAGATGAATGGATAACACTTCGAGGACCCAACAACCCAGAAAAGAAAAGAAAGGAATGGGGAGTCTGTCGATACAAAAGCAGGTGGGTAGGCTCAATACCTATCGTCACGAAAGTTGAATGGAGACGGTAAAAAAATGTCTGTCGATACAAAAGCAGGTGGGTAGGCTCAATACCTATCGTCACGAAAGTTGAATGGAGACGGTAAAAAAATTATGTATTACGAAGTTCTGTAGGTCATTTAGTGAGACAGCTGAGTTGTGTGTGTGTTGTCATATTCGTTATACACTCAAAAAAAGCATGACTCTGTGTGTGTGTGTGTGTGTGTGAGAGAGAGAGAGAGAGAGAGAGAGAGGCGTTTGTGTGAAGTTTGGAGTTTTATCTTCGTAGCCGATATGAACGACTGTCTGTCCTTGTCTGTCCAGGTGGATCGAATGGTGGATCGAATGTATGGGTGGAAGTTTGAGAGAGAGAGAGAGAGAGGCGTTTGTGAAGTTCGGGGTTTCATCTTCGTAGCCGATATGAACGAGTGTCTGTCGTTGTCTGTGCAGGTGGATCGAATGTATGGCTGGAAGGTTTGCCCAAACAAGCCCATCCGCATGGCGTTGAAGATGCAGAAACAGGATGTGCTAGCCGAGTTTGAAATGAGAGCAAATCAGGTGAGCATGAACATGATTGATGAATTTTGCAGCAAACACTTTGGGGCTAAACTTTCTTCATCAAGTATAAGCAATTGCGGTTCGTGATGAGAGGATTTCTTATCTGGATTTCTTATCTGGATATGATGATACTTGACAACGAAGCATTGTGAAGGAATTGAAGAAAGTAATGGAGTAGGGGGATAGTGAATGGTCGGGTCTGTTTTTTTTCCTTCTGAATTTGGAAAGATCTCGTCTGCTCTCTTGGATGCTCTACAAGGTCACGATTCGAAACTTAGTGTGGCCTCTCTTATCTTTCACGAGTTTATTGTGCGACTATGTTCCTCCCCATGTTGGGCTCTCTTATCTTTCACGAGTTTATTGGCCTTTTTTCTTGCAGAGCTCCCTTCTTCCCGGCCGTTTCTAGGAGTTTGCAAGGGTGGGATGAGTTGACCTTCTCTGTGTCTCTGTCAGTTTGTGTTTTGTGGGCTCTGTGTGTGTGCGTGTTCGTGTGTGTGTGTGTCTGTGGGAAGGGGTGAACGGGGAAAGGTTGGGTGTCTTTTCCTTTGACCTTTGCTGGGCAATCGGTAAGGAGAAGGTCTCTGCCGGTTGGGCAGGCGGAAAGCAGAAGGACAAATCGGGATGCCGGGAACTGAAGTGGAGGTTGACGTTGTGAAGAGGGGAATGGCGTACTCCTGTGCTATGGTCTGAATATGTATTTAGTCAAAGATCATTGCTTGTAGGTTTTTGTGTGTGAGGCTGCTGTGTGATTCTTTATCTTTTCTCTAGTCTTATGCGAGCCGCACTGTAAAATCGATAGCCATCTGGAATACTCTTGTGTGTTGTGGACAAAATCGATAGCCATCTGGAATACTCTTGTGTGTTGTGGACTGCTGCACACTGCCAAGATCAAGAGAATGTCTAATGCGGGCTGTCATATTCTGGCACGAGTCTGGTTGAACCATTCGCATTATTTAGGTTGGGTGGCGAATTGCGATTGTGCCACTCTCCGTGGGATTTGCTGCCGTTTAGTTCCCTCCCTGACTCAGCGGACAGTGAAGTTAGTGGGTAGCAAAACTTGTTCTTTCAGGCACAAGGAACGGTGATGTTTGGGAAAGGGAAGAGGGGTGCTGGGCTATGCTCACCGCTGTTTGACTTTGAGTTTTTCTTTTCTTTTAACTTTTTTTCTTTTTTACACTTAGTCATGCCTGCAGTAGTTTTTATGGACGTGAGGGCACTGTACGATCCATGCTCAGAATACTTTGATCTGTTGTGGGCGTATGCTCTGCCAACATAAAGGTCGTGGCTGATGCAGGCTCTGCCATCATGTGGCACGTGCCTGGTTTATCCACATACAATCCCCTAGATGCTACTGGCAAATGGTATTCCTGTTACACAGTGCCACCTCCTCCCCGTCCATTTCAACAGAATGCCAGATTCCTTGATGCTGTGATGCAGAAGTTTCGTCACTGCATTGAACTATGGGGTGTTTCCCCATGTAAAGCTTGTTTCCCCATGTAAAGCTTGTTTCTCCATTTAAAGCGTAGGACTTGGTAGTGGTCGATATCCTCCTTCTCGCTCCTTTTCAACCATTTAAAGCTTTGGACGTGGTAGTGGTCGGTAATCCCTGCTGCTTGCTCCTTTTCAAACAGAAGAGGCGGGGGACGGTGTGATATTTACCCTTTGTTTTCAGGGACACATTTGCATGTGCAAAACGAATTGCATGTCTTCCGAGTTTCTAAAATAAAACCCATGTGTCTGAGTGTACATTTGGGTATGTTGCGGCATCACCAGCAGGTTAGGGGAATTATGACATTGGCTGTGAGATTAAGGGACAACTTCAGTTTAACGGACCATGGCGGATATTGTCTTCTTTGTTTGCCACATGGCACATCGTGTGTTTCACACATGTACCGTCTTTACTGGAGGAAGTGGAAGCGAAGATCGGTGCTGGGACGTAAATCTTCTGTTTGACGTTTGAGAATGTGTGTCCGATGCGACCACTGTAGTTGCAAATAGGCGAAGGAAGAGCGAGTACTGCTCGTAGTTTATGGACCCTAGGGCCCTGTACGATTGATGCTCAGAATACTTTGTGTGTTGTGGGCTGGTGTACTCTGCCAACATAAAAGTAGTGGCTGATACAGGCTGTGCCATCTTGTGGCACGTGCCTTGTTTGTCCACTTACAGCTCCCTAGGCCCACTGGCAAATTGTTTTCCTGTTGGCTGTGGGATTAAGGGACAACTTCAGTTTAATGGACCATGGTGGATATTGTCTTCTTTGTTTACCACATGGCACATCATGTGTTTCACACATGTACCTTCTTTACCGGAGGAAGTGGAAGCGAAGATGGAAGCAAAGATCGGTGCTGGGACGTAAATCTTCTGTTTGAGTTTTGAGAATGTGTGTCCGATGCGACCACTGTAGTTGCAAATAGGCGAAGGAAGAGCGAGTACTGCTCGTAGTTTATGGACCCTAGGGCACTGTACGATTGATGCTCAGAATACTTTGTGTGTTGTGGGCTGGTGTACTCTGCCAACATAAACGTAG